CCTATGATAAACAGCTGTAACATCATGGGCATTTTAAATAGGTGCCTTCAGCATGCAGAACAGCAACGGAGAGATTCAGAAGACAGACTGTGCTCCCAGCTCATGTTGGAACCCAAAGGGTTCTAGCTATTTCAGAATTATAGCATCAGGGAATTCAGAGATCCCATGGGGCCCATTAGCACTAAAAAACCAAATGCAGATGACAAGACAATGTAAACTAGTAATACAACCCCCCAAACCATACATATATGATATATATTATAATGTATTGTATATTATAATGTATATTATGTATATATTATAAATAATATATATGAAAACAATATATGCATTACATATGTGTGTATACTATGTATGTGTATATGCGTGTATACATATATGTGTATATTTGTGATAGATGTGTGTCACATGCATATATGTGTGTGCATATATATGTATATATGTATGTATGTGTTTATATAGATATATATAGATCTATATCTATACACACACACACACACGAAGACAACTAAGAGACAGATGGCTGGCAAGCTGTAATTTTCCCTATGGCATTTATACATGTCCACTCAGTGCTCATATTTGGGTCATTTGCGAGGATAAACCCCATGTGACAGGCTCACTGAAAGTAAGCCAAAGTAGTCCATACTGGCTTCACCTAATTTTAATTTTCTATTAAGAGACGTACTTGTTCAAACAGCAAAAGGAACCTGTTCTGCACAGATTTGACAGATTTGACTATATTTAGTTAGAAAGTAAAATATCATCTTAAAATACTTCATAAACTATAGATCTTATCCACTTGCAATTTTTTCATTGTATCATAATGAAATCAGAGTAAAACAGCACCCTATACACACTCACTTCTTCCAATAAAGAGGTGAGGAGACAACATTTGATACAAAGCAAACTTCTTCCTTATATGCTTTGATTTTACAGTAATTCGTTCGAAACATGATTTTACTAAATACCAAGCAGGACTTCAATGGTTGAACATACTAAAATTTTAAGATAACAATCCCATATGTTATGGGTCTATTGAAGAGAGAGTCTATTGGAGAGAATTTTTTAGAGGGAAGTTAACAGAGTGATCATTTTATAACGGATTCTTATCATACTAGTTCATAACGCAAGCAGACAATAACTTTAAAAGGCCATGTAGAAGGAATAGTTGACTGACTTTAGATTAACTCATGTTTCTATAAAAACAGATTTATATTTATATTCAAATGAATAAATTAGGAATGTGGCTATTAAGAGTTTGGAGTAGTTTTGATTCAAAAATAGAAATTTCATCTGTGGAGTTGTTCCCCCACAAAGTTTACACAATTGTTGTACAACAGTCATGTTAATGATCAAAGTTGGGTTCGACGAATGCAAAATGGGCAATAAGGAAAACAATTTTCAAAGCAGCCACAAACCCATTTGCCACTTCCAAAAAACTCTTTTTTTAAGTAATGCATGATTTTATTCAGACAAGAATAAAAATATGTTTTAGGTGTATTATCTTATTGTTATACATCATAAAGGGCTTGCCATCAATTAGGTGACGTGTGCAAAATGAAATCAGTCTACAAAACAACAGAGATGGCGTCTTTCTACTGCTTTGAAGCAAACTCACTCCTCTTTGAGTGTTATCCCTATGGAAAACTTAGAGTAGTATTTTTAGAGAGGATACAGCGACAATGATGCAATGTTATCCTCAACAAATATGTAAGAGAGCAGAGAACATGGGATCAGCAATTTTTTTTCCAGTGACCTAAACACCAGATTTCTCCAGAAAATAAGAGGGTCCTTCAAGAAGTCACATTCATCATGACTTAAAATTTGGCAAAGACCATATATTTATCATTCCAATTGTACTCTAACCACAATTTAAGATTCAACAGGATCATGACTAGACTAAAGGCAAGGGGGTGGGGGGTGAGGGTGAAGTTGAAACTGTATATGCTTTTCCATCAGATAGATGAATTCTCTTCTTCTGTTTGTTTCATCACATCCTAGCCATATTCTTAAGTTGAGCATAAAAACACTTGTAAAATATTAAGTTTTACCATAGGGAAATCGATTTTGCTATGAAAAAGTTTCAGATTACCACTTAATCTCAACCAAGCTACATCAAACAGTGAAAAAAATTATACATATAGTTTACAAAGTAAACTCGATCACTATATTTAAAAGAAATGATAACTTTGAGAAGTACCACAGCAATAATGTTTAAGCTGAAGCAATATAAAGCCCTCCCACAGCAAATGCCAGATTCTTCAGCTAAAATGCAGAGTCTTGATTTAGTTAAGCAAGTCAAGCGTAAGAGCCATCTCCCTCCTTGGGAGCTGCTCCCAGCACTGGCCTCTCTCCTTCTAGAACTCTGCTGCATAAAGTTCTGAGGGTGGGGTGGGGTGGGGTGGGCTGGGGGCAGTGGAATCCACAGATGCAATTTACACAAGGTTTTAGACCTGAGTCTTTGTAGTCTGAAATGGAGCAGTGGAAGTAAACACATTATTATCATCATCCTCCAGTTTCCACTCGACTTCCCAGCTCTCTCCCTGCTCCACGAAGCAGTGAGTTGGAGGAGGCAGATAAAAAAGTATATCCGAAAAGTCACAATTTACAGAGCACCCTGGCACTGAATCACCTGTGCGTGCTATGCAGACATCCAGCAACTTCGACGGTCCTATTACTATGTATTTCAGGATTTCTAGGATACACGAAAACCAAGTCTGATTCTATTAAGACTTCATACTCTTAAGCACGCAGGTTTGCATATGCAGCGCCGCCACTAAGAAAATAGACTGCTACACAAAATACACTTCCAAAGTGTAGCAGAGTGGACTTCATACGTATAGGCTCTCAACATCCTAATGATAACGTCACGTCTATAGATCACATATCGAGCAAGCTGTCAGTTAGATGACATGGACAACTCATCACATTACGTTCATCTACGTAGCTAAATAGAAGTCAGGGATCCTGACACTGCACCCAACCTATAACGCATAAAGCACTTACAACTGCCCACCATCAAAGTGCAACTAATTCATCATCTCATTCACCCCAACTTCTCCCCAAGTTACAGTCCTAACACTACTTACTGATGATTAAAGAAGACCTAAGCATTACAGCTACAGAAGAATGTACATGAAAATTTGGTCTAGTTCAAGCCTGCATCTTTACAGGACACTTTCTTCTGATAAGTACTTTTTAAAGAACTGGACGGCAGATAAAGGACAGCATACACTGGGAATGCTTAATTGATCACAGAGTCCTACCGTACTTACTGTACCACAGTCACTTACTTTTCTCCCCATGCTCTTTATTCTTAGTTGAAATGATTACCTTCCAAACTGTCCCCAACAGCTCAAGGACCGCCCAGATTCATCCGTGAGCTCATTTTCGTGAAAAGTCACCCATCTTTGGAAAGAAGAGCTTTCTCTTCCCATCCCCTAGAGACAGCAGGTGCACAGTAACACAAAACTGGAAAGAACAGACGCAGCTCACCCCACTCTTACGCCAAGACCGTTTCTTTCTCAGAGTGTGCAGCGTGACTGCTAAAACCTGCACACTGGAAAAGTTGAGGAAAAGTTCAGGTCTTAACAGTGGCTTCCTTATCAGCCGGTCTGATGGACACGGCCTAAGATGCACTAAGAAGAGTTTGCTTTTTTTCCACTGCACCTATTATTGGGGGATTTCCTAAGAGACATGTGGGTGTAAACCCAGAGTCAGGGATTTGAAGCATACATCCAGGGGAGTGGGCACACCAGAGAACACAGAAGATGGCTAATCACCACCCAGAGAAGATCTTGCCTTCACCTCCCCTCACCATCACCCACTTTAGTCCACTCCATTCCCTGCCTTGCCCTGACCCTGGGGATCCATTCCCCTTTCCATAGCCCAGAGAGGCTGCTGAAAAGCTGTCAAAGTAAATCTGTGCTCACTTTTTGGATGGTTTCATTTCAATGGAGCATGAAACACCCCAGGACGGTTAATAAGTTTAGCCAGGCGTGCTGTTCTCCCTAATATATTTTAATTATGCATCTGTTTTAATTGTAATCAGATTAAGTCACCGGAAAGGCACAAATTGGAATTTTCCCTAATGGCTTATTGGAGCTTTTCATCAGTTTCTAAACACTAACAACATTTAAAAAAAAAAAAAAAAGGTAGAGACACGAGCACAACTGTGACATTTTCCAGAAATCGATGCAGTTTCTCTGACAACACAGTTCAGGTCTCATTAGCCACCCAAACTAGCCCAAATGCAGAAGACAACTTCGGTCTCTAGGGGCGTCTTCTTCCCCAATTAGCACAAAAGCATCGCTAACGTCTAACGGGAACCTCCCCAAACAGAAATGATAAGCCCAGACTTTTATATAAAAAGTGCTGCTCCGAAGATGGGGAGGGAAGTGGAGGGGGGGGGGCGGGGAGCCCAGGAGCAGCAGCTTGCATTACCTTGGCCAAAAGGAAAGCATCCTCCAGGTCCAGCAGGAAAGTCGAAGCAGGGTCCTCTCCTCCCCTCCCCCTTCCCCCTCCCCCTCCCCTGCTAACTGTCAAAGGTGTGTTTTTCCCTCGGGAAGTCCAAGGGTCCCGGTCAATAAAAAGGAAACGCTCCGGGGGAAGATCTGCTCAGAGGCGGGGAGCGGCTTCCTTCCAGCCCAGACGTAAAACCGCTCAGGGCGCACCAAGAAATACCTAAGGCTTTTTTTCTTTTCTTTTCTTTTCTTTTTTTTTTCTTTTCTTTTCTTTTTTCATCCCCCATCTAATACGTTCTTGAAACAGCTGCCCGAATTGCCGCGATTTTCCCCTAAGAAACTTAAAAGCGTTCGTCCGCCACCAGCCGAGAAGCGAGAGAAAGGACCTGCTGCAAACTGGGCGCCCCAACTCCGCCCGCCCGCCCAGCGCGCCCGCGCCCCGGCTTCGCTCCGGGGGGGACCTCGGGGGGACCTCGGGGGGACCTCGGGGAGCCCCCGGGCCACCGCGCAGTCCCCGCGCCCCCGCCGCCCCCTTACCTGTCATCGTAGCAGAAGTCGGCGCTCAAGGTGTTGAGGTACAAGGCGAGCCCCAGAGCGCTGCTCACCAACTCTGCGAGCATCTCTCCACCGCCTGCCCCCCGGCGCGGCCCCCAGCGCGAGGGCAGCAGCGGCCGCAAAGCCCGGGAGCATCAATCCCCACCCTCCGCGCCGCCCGCTCCTCCCGGCTCCACTTTTCCCGAGCTCCCGTCCCCCCCGCGGGTCCCCGCGCCGCCGCGCCCTCCTCCGCAGCCCCCGCGTCCTCCGGGTGCGGGCTCACACCGCGCTCCCCATGCCCGGCGCCCGCGAGCGGCCGGCGGCTTCGGGCTCCGCGCCCCCCGGCGGATGCGCAGGGCTGCTCCTCCCGCGGCTCGCCGCCCCCGCCCTACCCCATGGCACTTCGGGGCGCCCTAGGTGAGGACCGGGGCGAGGAGGCGGGGCGAGGACGCGGGCTGCGGGCAGAGGCGCCGGACCCCGCGGGGCTCCGGGACCGGCGGGAGGAAGGCAGAGGAAGGGGGGCGGGGGGCGGGGGCCAGGCGGACCGCCTCCCCTCGCCGCCTCCCGGGCGCACGGCTCCGGGGCCGCTCGGCCTCACTCCGGCCGCCACCGCGGCGGCCGCTCATCCACTGTCTACCAGCGCCCTCCCCGCGCCGGCCCCTTCTCGGGCCGAGTGAGGAGCGGCGGCTGGAGACTCCCGAAGCTCCCGCGTGGGGTTCTCGGCGCGGCCCCCCGCGCCTGCGTGGCCGGCCCTCCATCCCGGCCCCGCCCCGCCCTCGCCACGCCCATCGCCACGCCCTCCATCCAGGCCTGGCCACGCCCCCCACCCAGCCCCGCCCGCCCTCCATCCCGGCGTCGCCCCGCCCCTCGCCCTCCATCCCGGCCTGGACACGCCCCTGGACACGCCCCTCACCCAGATAAGCCCCGCCCCTCGCCTCCCAGCCGGGTCTCGCCCCGCCCCGCCCCTCTGGCTCCGCCCCCCCGCTGCAGTGCAGCCTCCTCCCGGCTCCCGAGGCCCGAGGCCCCTGCTGCCCACCGCGCGCCCCCTTCGGGCTTCTTTCACCTTCTGGATTTCACTCGGGAACGCCCCGGGGTGACCCCAGGGCGGCTGCCGGCGGCCGGCCCAACGGGGTGCTGGCGTGCGCCCTGGGAGGCGCGGCCGGAGGACGACCGAGCCCGGGGGGGACGCGGCCGCGCGGCGTGTGTCCGCTGGGCTGGGGGGGCCCTGGGGCCCGGGGAGGACGAGCGGCTCCGCGAGGGCTGCAGCCTCGCTGGCCACAGCTTCGGGCGGCCTCGTGTGCACGCTCACGGCGCGGGAGCCGAAGCGCGGGGGTCGGATCGGGGGGGCAGGGGGGCAGGGAGGGGCTGGGGGCAGGGGGGCGAGCCGGGGGGCTCCTCAGGAGCGGCAGGTTTCGGCTCTGAGCGCCGTCGCCCCAGGTGTCAACGGGAAGCCGTCTGGGGAGGAAGATGTTCCCGCAGTCGGGTCAAGAAGAAAGGACCCCGAAAGAGGAGAAGCAGCACGGACACGCCGCCGCTGGGGGGGGGGGGGGCTCCGGCGGTGCTGGAGGCTCAGTTAGGGACGCGGCTCCGGCGGTGCTGGAGGCTCAGTTAGGGACGCGGCTCCGGCGGTGCTGGAGGCTCAGTTAGGGACGCGGCTCCGGCGGTGCTAGAGGCTCAGTTAGGGACGCGCCTGCGGCCGGGGCGGCGCTGCCTCCGGGGCGAGGGAGGCGGGAGGCTCATGCCCTTGCCTTTCCGCCCGGATGCAGGGCTGGCTGGTGGAGGGCGTCCAACCTGATACTTCACGGTGGAGGAGAATGGCCGGTGGAGACAGTCCCGGGGACCGAAGTTGCGAGACCGCGGAGGACCGGGGCCGCCTGCCACGCCCCCTCCCGGCGCGGACCCGGTGGGCTCTGCTGCAGCGCCCCCTGCTGCCCGGCGCGCGCGGCGCGGGGAGCGCGGACCGCGGGGCTCCCCAGCCCGCTCCCCCAACCCGGCCTCCAAGCGAGACCCCCCCCCCACGAAATCGAATCCCCGGGATGTCTGGCAGCCGCCTGGAAAGTAAATACTGTGGTTTGGGTGTCCGCGAAACACAGCTCCGTCTTTTCCTCATTTCACAAAATAAAAATAAAAATCTGTGTAGACACAGATGACATGATGAATATTTATTATATCTATTATGCCACGCTCTTAATAGAAATGACGGACCCGTTTTTGTTCCCTGAGACACACATACGGAAGCATGCATGAGAGTTGCATCTTTACAGGCAGAAACTGATCCTTTACCTTTTTTTTTTTTTTAAGCTCCATAAGCTCTGCTCACCATTGAAAAGTTTGAAAAAGCCACTTAGTTGGCCCATCAAGTGCGTCTGTAGCTGTATATTCCTCCACTGCAAATAGGATCCTAATACACTGCAGGAAGAGCACCCAGGAGCTGGGAGTTTCTACTGTGCTTTTATTATCTGAGAAACCTCTGGCTAGTCACTTAACCAATGTGTGCCCCCTTTTTGCTCACCTTTATAAAGCAGTGAGGAAGAGAACACCTCTCTATGGATACCATTATTATGAAGATGAAAGTAATGAACCCGTGAAACACCTAGGAGAGTCCTAAGTGCAATAGAAATGTTAATTATTATAGTTATTCTTATTGCCTCCAACTTTCTCCTTTCCTTTTAGTTATTAACTAAAACCTAGATGCATCCCTACAAAATTACAAAATGTAGACCATGACGTCCACGCTAGTCCAACGCTAGTCCAACTACTGTCACTTCCTGCATGACTAATGCAGTACCTTTCAAAGTGGTCTTATTTCTCCCCGTGCAATTCCCCACTCCCCACAGTCGTAACTTCAGGTAATACAAGATTCTTTTGAAAACCTACAATCTCTCTATTTTAAAATGTTCAATGACTTCCTGAAACCCATCAATTAAAGTGCTGATCCTTACCACGGCCAGCCAGGCCCTCTTTTGGCCTTCCCTGACTTTGTGCCAGCAACACAGACCTCCTCCTCCTCCTCTGGTACTTTCCACTTTCTCCTCTTTCCCCGTGGGATGCCTTCGCAGACCTTCTCCAGCTCCTTCTCAGCATCCCGATCTTAGTTCAAATGTTCTCACCTGAGAGACTTTCCCAGCCCACACTGGGAAGTTGCCTCACTCTCATCAATCTTTGTCCCCTGCCTCTCTTCAGAGCGTGCATTGTGTCTGGAACCCCCACTAGAATGGTGACCCCAAGAGGGCAAGAAGGAACCTTATCAACTTGGTTTTCCACAGAATAGCCAGAGCCTATAACATCTGGATGGGTAGAAAAAACTGAAAACAAGGCAAAATGTTGGCAATAGAAGAACAAATAACCATACTTAGCAGAAACCATCTAGCAACTGAAAATCCACACATTTGCATCATATCCGTGTTAAACAGTGAAGAATTAACAAAGAGAGGGGGAGGAAGTAGGTTAAAAATTCTGAAGAATACATCAGCTCTGCAGGAAAACCTGTGGTAAGTCACACACAGACAGCTCTCTTCAATAATTAAGAGGACTCAGAGGCATGAAAGTAGTAAAAGCTCACCGTGCTAAAAGCTCGTAAGCCTTTCCAGAGCTGTCTCCCATAGTTTTAAATAAATATTTTCTACACCCCTCCTCCAACCTCCTCCTTTTCTCCCTACCTCCAGCTCCTGGGGATTGGGAGCCTGGGAGATGGGGAGAAATGCACAGTTTGCTCTCCCTGATCAAACGGGAGGCTGAAAACCCAGCTTTTAACAGATTTTCTCATTTTAATTCAATGTGGGTCTCAATAGTCTTCCAATGCATTAAATCTTGGTTGCTTTCAGGCTACTCTCCAAGGACTGAGAAGCAACCAATGTCTGCGTTCTCTACCTTCCTTGGACACCGGCCTAGGAGGAGAGGGGAATCGGTTAAGAGGTGTCATCACTATCCTTGGAGATCATTTCAAATCTGGGGACATCGCTCTTTGGTTTATTAAGCTGTACTTACCCATTGTGATATTGCTACCTCCGTTCTGAATATATATATATATATATATATATATATATATATATATATATATACACACACACACACATATATATTCTAGTTAAAGCTACTGTTACTCTCCACAGATGAAGGAAATTAGGCTGGCTGGCTTGACTTTTCTACCTTAGACACAAGACTGGCCAAGAAAGTGCTAAGCCCTTATTTTCCCAAAGTAGGTTCCACACATCTGCTACCTCACCACTTCCTCAATGAATTCTTTTTTATAGTCGCCCCGACCTACCCTGCATTTGTTCTGCATTCCCAGGCCTTTGTTGTATAATTCATACCTTTGCAGTGCCAGGTCCTCGGGGTAAAGATTTCCTTATTTGCCTAAGACATTTTTAGTTTATTGTGCAATACCATCTTCCCTTTGGGTGTTGCATAAATATTAACTAAAAATCCACATCTGGTCTTAGTCTTCATTTCTATTTGTCCTAATATAACTTCTCTTTGAACAATTCATTTGGAAAGTGTGCCAAGGGTGAAATGTGGCACATAAATTCTCCGGCTGCACAGAATGCCTTTTAAAGTGCCCACAGATTTGGTTATTTATGAACAGAAGATTTGCACCTCTTCCCCTGCTCTCTCAATTCTAAAATTGTACCAGGCCAAAGTAATTACAATCTCCCATATGTTTTGTGGAAAAGGTATCCAAGAATCTCCTGCTAAAATCTTAACAGATTGACTAGGAAGCAGAAAAACACTAGCCCAGCAGGTGAAACTGCCTGTTTAGGGAGGTCAGAACAGAGCTCTCGGCTGGGGGACTCATAAGCCCTGGGCTTTACTCAGGAAATAACCCTGCAGGAGAAAAACAGCAGAGCGTGGATGAAATGTGGGTCAGGGAGCTGAAAGAGGCACACGCGCTGCTTGGTTAACTAATGACAGTAAATGCATTGGCTACACATGTTACATTTAGATGCTCCCAGCATACCAGAAAATGCTGCCCTGCAGACACTGCAATATGTGACATCGCTTTGTCCCCAAACTTGTGATCCATTAGGAATATAATTAGGACAATACAGCCACAGAAACAGATCCTGTCACCTCTGTCACAAACCCAGGGCGGTTAAGAACCAGCTGCTACTAAAATAATGATCACTTTAAAAATCTCAGTCTCCCAGCTTGCAATTCAGAGGATGTGGGGGTAGGGGAGGAGGGAGGAGGAGGAGGAGGACCAGGAG